TTAAGATTTTTTTATTCTTGATGTTGATAGTATGTTTCCTTATATTTGTAATTTGAGGTTCTTAATGCGATTGTTACCACGTTTTTTTGCTTGTGTGATTTTTCGAGGATTTTGTTTTTTTAAATATGTTTCTATCTGTATGTGCCATATTTGGAGCTCTCCTTGGTACTTAGTGTTGAAACATTTTAAAGATAGGTTTTAATAGTAAGTGTAGTCATACTTATTTTCGTATATGAGTGATTTTTCTAAGCTTTTGAGGCTTTCAAAAAGTTCGTTTCTCGTGTTATTTTTATTTTTATTATAATATTGCACGAATCTACTTTTCAGTAGTTTTTGCGATGGATTGTAGTTATAGTTTTCACCTAGGGTGTTTTTGTAACTATCAGCGGTTTTACTATATTTCCTTTCAGGGCTCAACTTTTTTTTATTTTTAAATACAAATGCTTGATTATTGTTGAGTTTAAGGTTTTGGATTTTTGTGTCATGGTTATCTGTGTTCTGATTTTTTGGATTTCAGAGTACGGAGTTTGTTACAGAAGTTTTTGTCTGTTATTACAGAGTTTTTTAAAATAATTTTTTGTTTTATGATCTCGGATTTTGGCATTTGTAATATCATTTTTGTTCCATGATTTCGGATTTCGGAGTTTTTTGATTAAACGTGGTCTGTTTCTTCAACATGTAAGCAGTTCTATGAAATATCTATGTATGCAACTAAAGATGTTATTGTTACATTGCTGCTTTCTCCCAAGCTTCTTCTCTGGAAGAAACCTAAGTTGTTTCCCGACGAGTGTGTAGTGTGCGAATATCATATGTATTTGTGTTTAGCAATGTTTCATTGCAATTAAAATATCAAAAGCAATTTACCAGTACCTTTACGAGTAACGGGCGATTTAACATCGACAGCTCTTCTGCAATGGCCGTTGAAGTAGCTTAGGTATTTCGTTGGACAATTCATAACGCGAGAAGAAAAGCTCAATCGAATAATTAGCAAAACTTAATTTTATTTAGTGACAAACAGTCCAGATATTATAAGAGAAGTCAAAACAGTTAGATGAATGCTCAATACTGGAGTGACAGTGGTATGGAAATATGTTAACAGGTATACCACATCACTGTCACATCTAGTGATGTCTAGATAAAATAATTATTAAGGGAGTGTCTAAAGAGCGTTAGAACAAATTTTGGAGCACTGTTCAGACTATGCTTTCAATCAATTATAATCTTTTACATGGGCTGATATCAGAAGCAAAAGGTTTTACTCAAAATCTTGTACTTCATCTCAAAATAATAATTGTGTAATTTAACATAGCTACTTTATTTAAAGTCCTAAATTATGAGACATGTGATTTTATACTTCAAAAAGTATTAGTTAATTTTAAATAATATTAACTGAGCAGAATCTTGAGAGATTAAGAAATGTTAATGTTGTAACGTTATGCTGAAATGCCAATCGAGAAATTTTTTGTATGGTTTTTAATGTCTGAAGATATCAATGGCAAAAATTTATGGAAAAAATTCGAACAAGCTTTATTAAAGATCTTAAAAAAGGAAAAAAAAGTTATGATTTGTTACAGCTAAATTCAATTTTTAAATTGAGAAAAAACTCAAAAAAGCCTTTGATCGATACAACACTTTTTTTTAGCTTCTATCAGATATTAGAGAAAAAAGAATTTAAGCACTGCAAGTACCAAATAAATAAAAAACAACTGATATTTGTTTTGATACTTTTGGAAAAGATATTAACTTTTTAATACACAAGGTTATACTTACTTCTCATAACAAATATACTTACTTGTTTAATAATAAAATTTTGAACCGTGTAAGACTAATAATGAGAACATGTTACAGCACGAATCATGCTACTCACAAAAGTGATGATAAATCTGATAGTGATATTTACATAAATTTCCAATTGAATTTCTAAACAATAATAATGAAGTCTTATCTCCGCAAAAGCTTCATTTAAAAATTAGAAGAATTCATAATGATATGAAATAATGCAAATTAATAAGCTTATTAAGATCAAGAGATAAACTAAAGCAGCGCGCCATAGTATTACCTCAAAGGTTGCATAGAAATGTGTTAACGAATTATATAGATGAAATATATTCTAAGGAAGTGGTGAAAACCATCTGGAGAGGGCTAGAACAAATATTGAAGCATTGTGGAAACGATGTAGTCAGCAATTGTAAAGAGGCTGAGGTCGTTTTCTTGAAAATTGTAGAAAAAGCTACGAGGACGGTTTAAAAAAACAGTTTCATTGAAAATGACATGATTATTCACATACTTTAACTTCGTTTAGAGATGCAGCTGAAGGGTGGCTGGAAAAGGTTCTATAAAATGGTGAGAGAATTTTATTGGGTTATCTGGTTATAGAACAGTGAGGGGCTGAGGAGGGGTGGAGGTCGGTGGAGGGAGGGGCTGAACAAAAATTTAACCTAATAAAAATATGGGGAAAACCGGTAGAATTTTAACTTATTAAGGGTGGTGGCTGGGGAACGGTAACATGGCACAGGAAGGTTCTTTAAAATCGACCGGGGGGTTGAGGGAGGTCGGAGGGGGTTCTAACGGCGGTGGCGGGAGGATTGTGTGGAATGACCTTCTAAAATAACTATATAATATGGGAATATATGTACACGCGCGCACACGCGCGCATGTGTGTGTGTGTGTGTGTGTGTACTGGTCAATAGTTCAAGCATTTATTGTTGTCTTTTAAAAATTCTTACAAAGGTGAATAAACGTCACTTAGCAATTCAACTTTATCTTTCCATAATAAGTGTATTGTTCCACCACTAATTACTATAAGACGGGGGCATCTAAAATACGTACACTTTAGTTTTTGTCAAACCCCCCGTTGTTCTTAAAATCAGAATAGTTTACAACTTAGTTGATCGTGCCATTTTTTTACACATATAATTTTTCACCATACCAATACGAATATTATAAGTCAGTCACTGCTTGATAATAATCTGACTTCTTTTATCCAGAAAAATATAATGTGTAAATTTAATTTTTTATCAAATTGTCTCAATACACAAACGAGACAATAAAACTTACTATAATGTTTTTTTTGTCTGTCATTATGAAATTTTTGGACAAATGTATACAATTAGATGAAGACAAAATAAAAACTTTCAATACTACTAAGGTCATATACAAATTTTCTGATGGCAGCTGCCCCTTTCAATACGTAGGACAAACAAAGAGACTTAGACATTACGTTAAAGAACATACAAATATGTATGAAAAGAGTCATACGATTTTTTCTGACGGTTTTCGCCAAGTATCGAATTTATAAAACAAACTTAGCATTGAGGCTTGAAATTTAAAAGGAAAATAAAAAATAAAAATTAAGCGATTTCAAAAATAAAGAATTGTTATTATAATGTGTTGATAACCAGTAATGCGTGAGCGAGAAGGCAAGATAATATGCAAAAAAACAATGTGATTATAGCAGAAAAAAAATTCGATAATACAACGATGTATACTATGTAAAACAAAAAATGTTGAATGCATAAAGAAAAGTATTAATACCAACAGTAAATAAGTACACAAATAAAAAAATGAATAAATACAAAAACTGAATATGAGGCAAGTTAGGTTATTGTCAGCTCAGATACCTTTCCGTTTGTCCACAATTGTACACATGATTTAGTTAACACGAGTGTTTTTTCACTCAAAAACCCTTGTTGCGGCAATCTTTCAGTAATTATTATCCTTTATGTAAAAGTTTTTCCCATACGTATTTTTGTATCCATACTTTGTGTGATTTTTTAGTATTGTTTGGAAGTCATGACCAGCGAAACGTTATTATTTTAATAAATTTGTGTAAATACTTTTTTTATCAGGAAGTAATCGTTCATTTTTTCTTAGACCTTATATTTACTTATTTAACGACTTAAATACATAACCTATGAGATATATTACCTCAAACAAGAAAAAATAAACAAGCAGTAAATACTGATTAAAAGATCCAATCATAGATACTGGCTTATGGTGTGCTGACCACATTGTCCCAAATAATTTTTATATTTTTTTATGTTGATAATCCAAACAAAATTTTCAGTGTTTCACACCGTTACGTTGCTATTGTACATTTAATTTAAGTAATATTACAAATGAGGTGAATATTAACGATGAGATGGATATTTCTTTAAGTAGTCTTCATAAATAACCCTATCAATAATTAGGTTTTTATAAAAAAAAATCGATGATTTGATGACGAAACCTTAGAATTAGGTAAATTTGAATGAAAGTTGAATTTTACACAAATTAATGTACACAAAACTAAGAAATTACTTCTTAATAATGATAGTTTAGTTTTTGTCATCAAATTATGCCAAACGTAGAAATCTATACTCAAAATTTTGTTATAATTTTTTAAAATAAAACAACCAAACAAAAATGAGTTCTTCTTATTTAAAAGGGTATAATTCTTTTCAAGATTAAAACAATAGTTGCTACTAATGTAAAAAATTTTGATAAAATAATTGAACCAGATCTTACAATCATTCTTATTTGTTTTTATGAAATGAAGAAAATCCATAATAAAGGTGGCAGCAGTTCCTGAAAAAATTCTTTGTAAAATAGATAAGACCACAGTTAAAATTACGAAAGAAGCTAAATAAATTTGTAGTACCAATATTAAATCGATAACCTTTGAGTAAAGCTTTTTCATTTTGGGCTTAATAAGCTTCGATGTATAAGCAGTATTAAAAAATTTTCAATCTTTTTTAGTTACATCAAAACACCTTATTCTATACGTTATTATAGATAAAAAGATAGACAATACAAAAGATTTAAAAAATTTTAATTAATCTAAAACATTTAGATCAATAACTTGCACAATTTAAGTTTTTTTTTTTTTTACAATCAAACCCATTTTAAAAACCAGCTGATAAATGTGATGGATATTCTAAAAATAATATTTCAGGAATCATAATTACCATGCTTTCTCATTGTAAAGTCAATTATAGCTGTAATATCAGAAAGAACAACCACTATACTGTAGAAATAAAAAAATTCATTTTAGACTTATTAATTGTAATAAATTATTTAATTGATATAGAAATTACAGCCTGAATGAGATTCAACTTTTTCTTTTGTTGCATAAAACCATGTTCCTAGGTTTGTAAATATTATTGCGTCTTTAAATGCTTTACAACCTTCGATAGACGTTAACATTCCATATACAGCTAAGTCAGACAAATCTGGATGGGCTCCACCCATAAACGTTCCACCTTTAGCTTTAATTCCATTAAGCCAAACATTGATTTGATCGTAAAAAGATTCTCTTACATTATTTTTCAAATTATGTCGTTTTCTCAGTTTTTTGGATATCATCCACATTGCCAAAGCACCGACATGAATCATGACTATTCGTTCCCATGCTGGAAAATATTCCTCCCAGTGACCAACCTAAAAAATCAAAACGAATATTTTTTAAGACGTATCTTTACTGATGTATCTAGTAAGAAATATCAAAACAATAATATATTCACAAGATTTACTCACAGTAAGTCAGAAGCTAGAATTATTTATTTTTTGAAACACGGCCGTGTTAATATTTTTGTTTTAATAATTTGTTGTTATTTTTAAGTAAAAGCAAACTTTAGAAGGGTGGGATACAAAACTGCGTAAAATTATAAAAATAGGTAAGGTAAGCTCACATAAAACGATATTAGCTACTATAATGAACAGAAGACTATAAAGTAAATCTTTGTGTTAAGAGAAATAATATCAGTTTAAATTAAATTAAATTACCCGCCAAAGCATTATCTTAACAACGGGCTCCCTAACCTTATCAGAATTCTCACAATTCAATAGTAAACTGTTACATTAATATACAAGTTACCTTTATTATTTAATATTATTTGGAATCTGCTTTTAAATAGGAGACGATTTATTATTTTGCTTTAACTATATTGTGTCTATTTGAAACAAATTTATTTTTCAATTTGAAAATAATGATTTCGGCGCCCGAACCACGCAGAAAAGGAACTAGACCACAAGTCACCACATGCAAGTTTCTAGATATTCTCACTCAATCATTAAATTCATTATTTAAAATTATTGTGATATGTAGTTACATAAATTTATGCACCTCCGTAATTCGCAAGTAAGGAGGAAACGAATCGTACAGGCAGAATTGGATTTCAACCCAATTAACCATTTAAAACAAAGATTTTTGTATTTCAGCATCGCGCCTATTCCTGACTTTTTATTTTGTAAATATCTTGCAAACTATTGATCCACAAATAATAATTAAAGTGGAGGATAAATCCACAAGTAAAGAGAAATGATTTAAGTCCTGAATGGTTGCAAAATAATAATATTTAATATTTGCGGGCGCAAACTTCACAAGTCTCCATAACTCTTCAACAATAATCATTAGTTAATACTCTTTGTCATGGCTGAATACTATCAAATTTATTAGAAAATTTGCAAGAAATAAATAATGATTATATGTATCTGAGGAGAAATTGCATTAGGTAGTAAAAAGAATATGAACAAGTGCAATTACAACACACTATGTCCTTCTCACCAACCCTCATCTTTTGGAAAGAAGAAAGATGGTCCTATTTTACATTGTGCTGGAGAAAGCCTCATTTTGGATTTTCCCTATTTCGAATTTTGCACTAAAAATTGGCCTATCTTTAATTCAGAATACTAAAAAAGGATATACTTTAACCCAATGCTTGTAACATCATTTATTATGGTATTAATTTACACGTACATAAAAAAAACTGCTTTTTAAAGTTGCATGGCATTGCGCTGTTATACACGTCTAAATTTGTCCCTCGGATTTCTTGAAAAAAAAAAAAAAAAAAAAAAAAGAAAAAAATAACACCATTCCTATAAATAATGTATTCCAAAACTACTTAGCACAAGTTATGAAAAATACTAACTTGTAATATTTGTGAAAACAATCTGAACAAAAAGAGGCTTTTAATACAGTTTCCAAAAAATGTGTCAACTTATTTCTTTGAAATTTATGACCTTTTTAACGACGCATGCTTGGTATTGCGATTTTAATTTTATTTATCTTATCTTACTTATTACTATTATATAAAGAGACAGCATTTGTTTGTATGATCATAAAAACCTTAAATAAAGAGATATCAGTTGTTTGTACATTCACAAAAATCTTAAGAAGTACTGAACCAATCGTTCTCAATTTTTGATTTAAAGTTTATACATAAGTATGAATGTGTTATCAGCTGTAATAACTAATAATAACTTTAATAAGAACATTTCTATGAAACTTGCAACGCTTCTACAAAGGCGTTTTGTCTTTTAACCGCTAGAAGTGGTTACATTTTAAATGTTTTTGTACATTTAGGAATCTACTTTAAAAATTTACTTAGTTAAATTAAGTATGCTATTAAAGTTTAGTTGACTACCCAATCATCGTATAACGCGTTTATTGAAGTGAGTTTAATCTAAATCCTTCGCCCACTAACATAACAAAATTTAAAATTTATTTTTTCAAATGTATTACGATTTATATTTTACATACATAAATAGTATAACTTCTGTTTCGAAATGCTCTGTAATCTCATTGCCTGGAGGCTTTTCACTATAGCATTCTTTCAGCTGAGCTTACCAACTCACCAGCCCTATTGATTTGAAGTTTTTATTGAAAGCTAAATGCTATTAGCTATGAGAATTGTGACGTGTTAGTTAAAGCTATCACGTCACTGTATATCTATATTTTTGGGCAAGTCAGCGGCGGCTACTGAGCTCTCTCTCTCTCTCTCTTTCTCTCTCTCTCTCTCTCTCTCTATATATATATATATATA